AATTTCATTTAGGGAGATTAAATGATTCTCCACATCCATCATCAGTAAGTATTATTAACTGACTCTCAACACCCAAGTATGACATTTTCATCGCCTTTTTCTCCTTTGTCTAGCTATCTGACTATAAAAAAGGCCTTAACTAAGTGAGAAGAAAAGGAAATGAGAAGAAAAAGAAAAAGGAAAGGATAGAGGTAAAGGAAAATATTCTCCTTGAAATCTCCCAAATCCTAGTGTGGTTGTTTCATTGACCTCTTCCCACTATTTACTTATTCTTTGCTCCAATTCCTTTAACATTATCTAGACAAATTACTCTAGTGCTGTCATCTGCTTTCAAGACTTTATTTATACACTGGTAAGTCAATATATGTTTTCTAGATACCTTATGATGTTTTGTGATTTCTATTACTTATTTTTATTACATTAAGATATCAGAATTGTTACAATAAAAACATTTTTGACACCCCCCCCCCTTGCCCGTCACACGCACAGAAAGGTATCTTTGAAATCAATTAGTTCTGTCTTAATTCTACAGAATAAAAATTTAAGACAGGAAAGTTAAGTAAGCTTCCCCACGTTATGCAGCCCGTTAAACATGTTCCCTTCTCCTGCTTCACAAGTATCCCCATCTCCCTTCCACCTATCTCTTGATCGTCATTTGGAGCCTACCTCACCTTCCTCTGTGGAGGTGGACAGTAAATTTGTAGAACAGAAACACATCTTTTGGTGTTCTTAGTAGACTAAAGTCTGCTTTTTGCAGCCTCTCCTATAGACATTTTTAAATAGTTAAAATCATATTCTATGTGTGACTTTGTACCACTGTGTTAATATTCTAATGATAAGTCCTCCCATGATATTATAAACTCTGTTTTGCAAATATCCATTTAAGTTAAACAAAATGCATTAAGTGCATGTCATATCCTAGGTACTAAGCTAACTGGTGACAAATGATAAGATTGTTCACTACATTAAGGTGCTGGAGATAAATGACACTGAAGTGCTTCAGAATGTAGGAAATACATGAGAAGAAAGAATTTTAGTACAAGATAGGAAGTGTTAATTATTGCATAATATTCAACCACATGAAAGTACCACAATCCACTGAGGAAATCTCCATTTTGTTCTGATATTGTAAAAAATGGTGATAAAATGACTGTCCTATGTTTCCTGTATGCAAGGTTTTTAGAATAGATTACTAGAAGTACAATTACCGAGCCAATGTATGAACATTAAGGCTACTCAAGAATATAATAGAATTGTTTTCCAAAAGAATTATATTAATTTATACTTTAGCCAGCAGCATATTAGAATTTTTTAACTTCAGATATATTAGCACTGGAAATTATCTTTTTGAAAACCATTTTATAGATGAAAAATGGTATCTAATTTTAGTTTACATTTAATAGATGGCCATTAATAATATGACAGCTGATTTTGTCAGTTTTGGCTACTAACTTTGGTTTGAAAGTCCATAGTTACAGCCTATATGGACACAGCCTATATGATTCAATCAACATATATTTTAGGAAGTTATTTTTGCCTCTAGTTTCCTTATCTGAGAAATGAGCAGGGAGTCACAGTATCTTAGCATCAGAAGGGATATCGAAAGTCTTTGAATCCAATTTCCACCCACTGCATGAATCCTCTAATATTCCTGACAAAGGGTCACCTAGCCTCTGCTTGACCAATTCCAATGATGATAAACTCGCTGTTTGGTAGTCCTACAGAGAGTAATACTTTCCTTGTAACTGAGACAGTAAGTATGAAATTGCTTTGATAAAGTTAAAAGGATGCATATAAATTCAAGACTTTTCTAATTCATAGGGCAGATTGATCTGGTGTTAACTTGTTTAAAAAATAGTGCCCTACTGTCAATAATGATATGATCTTACATTTAAGAAGTGCTTTATTATTTTAAAGGTACTTTTTTATACCCCAATCATGTCTAGTGATTTTAATAGCAGTTTTTAGTATTCTGCTATACTCTGCTCTCTTTAAATACCAAAATCCTAGCCTTGTTGTCATAATTCTGTTATTCTGGTATTTTAAAAAACCTAAATTATTTGCATTTTGAAATAAATATTACTCAATTTGTGAAAAAAAAAATACCTATGATATGTGGTCTATGAGTCTAGGCAAGTCCTCACTTGTACACAGGGGAAAAAGAAACCAGACGGTGTTATTTATAAGCTTCTGTTGCAAGAATAATTGTTAGTCCAAAATAAAGAATTTCTTGTCCAGTAGAATAGAATAGCATAGTGCCAAAATTGATATAGGTAACTCTGCTTTGGAATTTCCAGCTATACATGATAAAACTAATGAAAGTGATTTAAAAAAACTGGAAATAATTTCTTTGAAACAAAAACAAAAAGCATATCATACAGTAAATCCCAGTCCTTGAATATGGCTCTCTACAAATTTTTTTTTTTAAAGATTTTATTTTTCCTTTTTCTCCAAAAGCCCCCTGGTACATAGTTGTGTATTTCTAGTTGTGGGTCTTTCTAGTTGTGGCATGTGGGATGCCACCTGAGCATGGCCTGATGAGTGGTGCCATGTCTGCGCCCAGGATTTGAACCGGCGAAACCTTGGGCAGCCAAAGCAGAGGGCATAAACTTAACCACTCGGCCACGGGGCTGGCCCCTACAAATTTTTTTAAAAATCTAATCCTAGTCAAAAATCAAAAGATGTTTTATAAATATTTTTACAAGGTTATCAAGCAAGAAATGGGAAGATTCAAAGTTAAAGAAGTCAAGGAAATATTGGAAAGCAGCATACAATCCTTCTTCTTCTGACTAGTGTAGTATCTGAAATCGTTTCTTAGTTGGAAGACTCTGCTCAAAAATATGCTTTGACTCAACAATAGCACTAGTGACAATGCATTTTGATTTTTAAGATCATATATTCTGAGAAAGATAAAATAATATTTCATTAAAACGTATCTGCTAATTTACCTTAAAATGCTATATATTTACATTTGTTGTTTTGTAACACCTTAATTGAGGTATAAATCATAACATGCAATTAACCCACTTAAAGTATACAATTCAAGGGTTTTTAGTATATTCACAGAATTGTGCAAACATCACACAGTTAATTTTAGAACACTTTCATCACCCTAAAAAGAAACTCTGTATGTGTTGGCAGTCACTCCCCATCACTCCCCCTCCCCCCGTGCCCACCAGCCCTAGGCAACTACTACTCATCTATTTTCTGTTCATATGGATGTGCCTATTCTGGACATCTCATATAAATGGAATCATACAATACGTGATCTTTTGTGTCTGGCTTCTTTCACTCAGGCTGATGTTTTCAAGGTTCATCCATGTTGTAGCATGTGTCAGTACTTCATTCCTTTTTATTGCTGAATAATATTCCATTGTTTAGATGTAACACATTTTGTTTATTCAGTCATCAAGTTGGTGGACATTTGAGTTTCCACTTTTTAGTTATTATAAATAATGGTGCTATAAATATTAGCATACACGTTTTGATGTGGACATAGGTTTTCATTTCTCTTAGGTATATACAGAGGAGTGGAACTTCTAGGCCATATAGTAATTCTGTGTTTAACCTTGAGGAACTGACAGACTGCTTTCCAAAGTGGTTGTGCCTTTTTACATCCCACCAGAAGTCTACAAGTGTCCAATTTCTCTATATCCTCGCCAGTATTTGTTATTATCCGTCTTTTTGATTATAGCAATATTTGATATTTTGCAATATATTTTAGACATTTAAAATTTTGAAATATATTAAATATGATTGTACTGACTTTTTGCTTTATGAATTCTGAACTCTTCAAAAAAAACAAATATTGATATTAATACATATTTCAGTATTAAACAAAATAAAGACCTCAAATTATCATTTTTGCTCTGGTTACTTCAATAAATAATTGCATTTTCATATAAAACTTCACATGACAAATTACCTTCAGAACTTAGAACTACGTAAAGGTTTTTTTCTACCTGTATATGCCTTCTACAAAAATATGAGAGCTGTCTAACTCATTCCTTCTCTGTACTGATTGCTAAAAAGCTTATAGCTAGAGCTTTTATTTATTTTTCTTCCTCCCCAAAGTCCCAGTACATAGTTGTATATTCTAGTACATAGCTGTCCTTCTAGTTCTTCCATGTGAACCACTGCCACCGCATGGCTACTGACAGATGAGTGGTGTGGTTCCGTGCCCAGTAACTGAACCCAGGCTGCTGAAGTGGAGCACGCCAAACTTTAACCACTGGGCCATCAGGGCTGGCTCTAGAGCTTTTCTTAATCAAGAATTCAAAACTTTAACTTTTATTTTCATCTTTTATCTTGTGGGTGTTGTTTTTCTACCTCTATGTTTAGTAAAAGCTAATGCACATTCTTTTTAGAGGGAAATAGGGTATACAGAGGTAAATAAAAAAATATGTAGTAAGCACCCTTGACCTGCACAGCTGTCCCAAGGCAGTAGTTAGGGTAAATATTCCAAACTCTACAAATGATCAAAGTGAGGCAAAAGTAATGTACTCAAAGTCAGAAGCTTAGATGTAGCAAAACTGATATTAGAACGCAGGTCCTAGAGCGCCCCCATTTCACTTCATTATACTCTCACCAACATTCCATCACTCTGTTTAAGACAGACATTTTCTGACATCTGGAAAACATCTCAAAGTAGTTCCTGTAGAACTAACACTTAAAGGCGATAGAGTCCCTGTAGTAAGATGTTCAACTAATATACCATCCCCGTGATTGAGATAACTTTAAATGTTCCTCAATCCAGTCCCCTATAATGGCTTAGCTCTGTATGATAGAAAGAAATTTGTTTATTTTTCAGGGATGATTCTGTGATTGTTATAATTATTACCAATATTTAAATTATCAATTTACTGTTAATGCCAAGAAAGATGATCCAAGACATAAAAATCTACTGTGTGTTTAATAATAACCATACTCTAATATGGTACCTGATATTGTAGTTCGCTTAAGAACAGGAGAAAATATTTCAAAACAGTTCCCATGTAGAATAATTTACAGGAACTTACTTTATATTTCTCTGCATTACATTTTAAAGTCATATAAAAGACTGATTTTCCTGTGTGAAATTTAAGTATTCTTCCTTAAAGAAAGCAAATGCCTATAGAGATAGTTATAGAAATGCATTGGGTGTTCATTACTGGTGATACTGAATAGAATTTAGGTTTTAGTGCCAGATATAAGGTGAGAACACCGCTAGCTGGAAACTATACTTAAATTTGGGTGATTTCTGGAAATTTAAAGTCCAATAATTTCACTTATTAAGTTGGGCAAGTAAATTATATGTATGTCCCAGACTTAAGTAATAGTTACAAAACAGTCTAAACATGAATTGGAGAATTCAATAAATTTTATAAATGCATTAAAAGAACGCTTCTCCTGTCCTCATTCTATCTCCACTTCTAGACTTGAGGATTGTGAACACTTGCAAAGTTTGGTCCAAAGAACTAGGCCATCACTATGAATTAATAAACACAAAATGACTTAAATCACCACGTGCTAAGTAGCAGGACCCTGAGGCTGAATAAGTATTGGTTTTCTGGAATAGTAACCTTAGAAATTGTATAGTTTGACTCAGTCATTTTACAGATGTGGAAATAAAGATCAGGTGAAGGAATTTACCCAAGATCTCATAAGAAGGGTGGGGCTATAACCAAGTGGATTCCTGATTGAAGGCTGTTTCCACAACACCAAGACAGTTCAAGTCAAAGTTTTAAATGCATTTGATTTGCAGCTTTGTTTAAAACTTTAGTTTAAAAAAACTAAAAATAATATAGCTTAAAATAGCAAAGAGTTTTGATAAACTCACATTTTTAGCTAACAGCCAACTAGAAACCAAATATAATAGCAATGTCACTATCAGAGCAGATCAGTGTAATAATGCCAACCTTCAGGCTTCCTAGGATATTTTAAAAATCATAAGCACTGCTATAAATATTTTAGAGTCACTTGAGAAAATTACTTTCATGTAGCCAAAGGGACAAACTTCTGGAAAAGGAGCTAAAGAGAATTTTGATAGCTATTTCTTATCTATTTCACTCCCTGAAAAACGTGTTGAACATTAACTTCACAAGTTGAATATTACAGGTGAAAAAAGGGAAGAAATAGAAATCCACCCAGTTTTGGAATCATGGATTGAGTTTTGGAAGATGGTTTGATCTTGTAATCTTTTTCACCGGTCCTCTCTTGGCATTCATTAGCTTCTGATTAACTGGATTGCATCTTCCCCTGGAAAAAATAAGTGTTAATCGTGATTTTCCAGTCATCATACGCCACACGGGAAGAAGTATGTATGGTACCTAGTTCCCCGAGCCCACAGTCCTTCACATGGAAGTCTCCCTGTGCACGTTTTCTGCTTACTGAACAATCCTAGGCAGCCATATGTCATACTATATCATCTCACCACGACTAGAGAGGCAACCTACCCAAGGGCAGATAATCCAAAGCTTGGAAGCAGCCCATGAGGTGGTCTAATGTGGAAATCTCTGTCCAAAAAGGAATGAGATGGACCATTCTAATATTTGCTCATGGAAATTTGAATTGAAGCTAAGAAAATATACAGAGAAGCCATGAATTAGACCAGGGACAATAAGGAAATAAGGACCCATGACTAAGCCAAAGATATAACTTAGCTAAAATTATAATAAAATTGAAACTATGACATACTGTGACATAAAAAAGATATAGAAAGTGAAGATGGCAGTCAGTAATGAGAAGTAAAAGTAGAGACAATGAGTGGTTGATTATACTAGAAATAAAAATAGCAACACCTGTATAGCACATAATAGCACCCTGCGCCAAGGACTGTTCAACTGAACCACTGCTGTTTTTAAAGCTTCCTTGAATTCTAGTTCTAATATCTGTAGGCCCAGTTATACTGGAATTCCTGTTCTTGGACTTCCGTGGGACAATCTTTCCCTTATTGACTTACGTATGTTTATAAAACCAACCTCCCCACACTCTTACTTGAGATGGTAAGAGTCAGCTTCAATTCCTTGCAATGTGTTTTTAAATCAATCAGGGAGTAATGTCAGTAAAAATGACAGAATAAGACCCCCCAAAATTCTCTCTTTCAAGAAAGCACTGAGAAAATTGGCAAAAATGGTCAGAAGCAACTTTTTCAAAACTCTGGAAATAATCAAAGGCTTGCAGCAATCCTGGAGAATTTATTAAACCCACCCACCCACACACAGCTGAAATTCAGTAAGAACACAGCTTTGTGGCATTTTAACTTGCCCTACTCCTCCTTTCCCCAGCTCTGTGGTATCCCTGTGAAGAAAATGATAAACTGATCCTAAAATTCATATGGAAATGAAAGACACTCTGAACAATCAAAACGATCTTGAAAATAATAAAGTTGGAGGACTCACAATTACTGATTTCAAAACTTACTAAAAAGCTACAGTCATCAAGACAGCATGGTACTGGCATAAGGATAGATTTATAAACCAACAGAATAGAACTGAGAGTCTAGAAATAAATGCATTTGTTCATGGTTAGTTGACTTTTTAAAAGGGTGCCAAGACAATTCAATTGGAGAAGAATAGTGTTTTCCAGAAATGGTGCTAGGATAGACACATGCAAAAGACTGAAATTGGACCCCTATCTCACACCATATACAAAAATTAACTCAAAATGGATCAAAAAGGAGCTAAAACTATAAAACTCTTAGAAGAAAAAATACGTATAAATCTTTGTGTTCTTGGATTAGGCAATGGTTCTTAGATATGGTCATACAATAAGAAAAAAAAATCCTAGGAAGCCAAGATCAGGTGGATTTAATCAAAATCAAAACATTTGTGCTTCAAAGGGTATCATCAAGAAAGAAAAAAAACTCTAAGGAATGTGAGAAAATATTTGCAAATCATATATCTGATAAGGTCTAACAGCCAGAATATACAAAGAACTCTTATAACACAACAATAAAACAAACTCAATTAAGAAATGGGCAAAGGACTTGAAAAGACATTTCTCCAGAGAAGATATACAAATGGCCAGCAAATATATGTAAAGATGTTCAATGTCATTAGTCCTTAGGGAGGTGCAAATCAAAACCACAATGAGATACCACCTCACATCCACAAGGATGGCTAAAAGAAAAAAAAAGCAAAAACGGATAATAAGTATTGACAGGGATGTGGAGAAATTGGAACCCTCATACATTGCTAGTGGAAATATAAAATGGTGTGCCATTTTGGAAAAAAATTTGGCAGTTCCTCAAAAAGATAAACAGAGTTAGTACTTGACCGAGCAATTCCATTCTTAGGTATATACCCAACAGAATTGAAAACGTGTATGCACACAAACTTGTGTAGGAATGTTCATAGCAGCATTATTCAAAATAGCCAAAAGGTGTAAACAATCCAAATGTTCATTAATTGATTAATGGATAAATGAAATGTGGTATATCCAAAAACTGGATTATTCAGCCACAAAAAGGAATAAAGTACTAATACATGCTCCTACATGGATGAACCTTGAAAACACTATGCTAAGTGACAAAGTCAGACATGCAAGGGCACATATTGTTTGCTTCCATTTATATGAACTAACAAGAATAGACAAATCCATAGAGACAGAAAGTAGATTAATGATTGCCAGGGGCTGGGAGGAGGGTGGGCTGGGGCTGCTAATGGGTATGGGGTTTCTTTCCGGGGTGATGAAAGTATTCTGGAATTATATAGGGATGACGGTTGCACAACTTTATGAATATACTAAAAATCAATGAATTACATTCTTTGAAAGGGTACAATTTTTGGTATATGAATTATATCTTGAAAATATTTTTAATTTTTTTATTGAGTTAATGATAGGTTACAATCTTGTGAAATTTCAGTTGTACATTAATGTTTGTCATTCGTGTTGTAGGTGCACCACTTTACCCTTTGTGCCCAGCCCCCACCCCACGTTTCCCCTGGTAGCCACTAATCTGTTCTCTTTGTCCACATTTTTAAATTCCTCATATGAGTGGAGTCATACACAGATTATCCTTCTGTAACTGGCTTATTTCACTTAACATAATTTCCTCAAGGTCCATCCATGTTATTGCAAATGGAATGATTTTGTTCTGTTTTGCAGCTGAGTAGTATTCCATTGTATATATATACCACATCTTCTTTATCCATTCATCTGTTGATGGGCACTTAGGTTGCTTCCATGTCTTGGCTATTGTAAATAATGCTGCAATGAACATTGGGGTGCATAGGACTTTTGGAATTGCTGACTTCAAGCTCTTTGGATAGATACCCAGTAGTGAAATGGCTGGATCATATGGTAGTTCTATTTTTAATTTTTTGAGGAATCTCCATACAGTTTTCCATAGTGGCTGCACCAGTTTGCATTCCCACCAGCAGTGTATGAGGGTTCCTGTTTCTCCACAACCTCTCCAACACTTGGTACTATTAGTTTTAGATATTTTTGTCATTCTAATGGGTGTAAGGTGATATCTTAGTGTAGTTTTGATTTGCATTTCCCTGATGATCAGCGATGATGATCTTTTCATGTGCCTATCGGCCACCCATATATCTTCTTTGGAGAAATGTCTGTTCATGTCTCCAGCCCATTTTTTGATTGGGTTGTTTGATTTTTTGTTGTTGAGTTGTGAGAGTTCTTCATATATTACGGATATTAAGCCTTTGTCAGATATATGACTTGTAAATATTTTTTCCCAGTTAGTGGGTTGTTTTTTTGTTTCAATCCTGTTTTCATTTACCTTGAAGAAGCTCTTTAGTCTGATGAAGTCCCATTTGTTTATTCTTTCTATTGTTTCCCTTGTCTGAGAAGACATGGTGTCTGAAAAGATCCTTTTAATACTGATGTCAAAGAGTGTACTGCTTATGTTTTCTTCCAGAAGCCTTATGGTTTCAGGTCTCAGCTTTAGGTCTTTGAACCATTTTGAGTTTATTTTGGTGAATGGTGAAAAAGAATGGTCAATTTTCATTCGTTTACATGTGGCTTTCCAGTTTTCCCAGCAGCATTTGTTGAAAAGACTTTCTTTTCTCCATTGTAGGCCTTCAGCTCCTTTGTCAAAGATAAGCTGTCCATAGACGCGTGGTTGTATTTCTGGGCTTTCAATTCTGTTCCATTGATCTGTGCACCTGTTTTTGTACCGGTATCATACTGTTTTGATTACTGTAGCTTTGTAGTATGTTTTGAAGTCAGGGATTGTGATGCCTCCCGTTTTGTTCTTTTTTCTCAGGATGGCTTTAGCAATTCGGGGTCTTTTGTTGCCCCATATGAATTTTAGGATTCTTTGTTCTAATTCTGTAAAGAATGTCATTGGGATTCTGATTGGGATAGTGTTGAATCTGTAGATTGCTTTAGGTAGAACGGACATTTTAACTATGTTTATTCTTCCAATCCATGTACATGGAATGTCTTTCCATCTCCTTATGTCGTCGTCCAATTCTCTCAGAAAGGCCTTGTAATTTTCATTATATGGGTCCTTCACTTCCTTAGTTAAATTTACCCCAAGGTATTTTATTCTTTTTGTTGCGATTGTGAATGGTATTGTGTTCTTGAGTTCTTTTTCTGTTAGTTCATTATTAGAATATAGAAGTGCTACTGATTTATGCAAATTGATTTTATACCCTGAAACTTTGCTGTAGTTGTTGATTACTTCTAAGAGTTTTCCAATGGATTCTTTGGGGTTTTCTATATATAAGATCATGTCGTCTGCAAACAGTGAGAGTTTCACTTTTTCCCTCCCTATTTGGATTCCTTTTATTCATTTTTCTTGCCTGATTGCTCTGGCCAGGACCTCCAGTACTATGTTAAATAAGAGTGGTGATGGAGGGCATCCTTGTCTCGTTCCTGTTTTCAGGGGGTTGGCACTCAGTTTTTGCCCATTCAGTATGATGTTGGCTGTGGGTTTGTCATATATGGCCTTTATTATGTTGAGGTAGTTCCCTTCTTTGCCCATTTTGTTCAGAGTTTTTATCATAAATCGCTGTTGGATCTTGTCAAATGCTTTCTCTGCATCTATTTGAGATGATCATGTGGTTTTTATTTCTCAGTTTGTTGATGTGGTGTATCACGTTGATTGATTTGCAGACGTTGAACCATCCCTGTGTCCCTGGTATGAATCCCACCTGATCATGATGTGTGATCCTTTTGATGAATTGCTGAATTCTGGTTGCCAAAATTTTGTTTAGAATTTTTGCATCTATGTTCATCAGTGATATTGGCCTGTAGTTCTCTTTTTTTGTGGTGTCCTTGTCCGGCTTTGG